TGGTCAATATGAAAGATAAACGAACAAGCTCGGTTCATGCATCAGTTTTTTTTTATTTTTCAAACTCGTTGGCGAAGTGTGGGAAGATTAACGTGCAAAAACATACGCTCGCTGCATTTGAAATCTCACCACGAAGCCGGATTTGTGACACGGCATACATTAGAAGGTGTCTCGAATAGTTTATCTATATCTTTGTTGGGCATTATTCATGAGAAGTCTCTGCCTCTGTTACATTTCATGTCGAACTCGCTATCTCACAATACAGCGTTATAAACAACTCACATCTTCATTAGAAGACAAAGATTTTAGATTGTACCCGTGTACAAGTAATATTAGAAGAATTTTAATTGGAAACACTTTGGGCTCTTAACTATATAGGAAATTTTACTTCTACGAAACAGCGGGTTAATTTGTTTTAAATTTAATTAAAGCAAATCTTAACAAACCACAAATTCCCTCGTACCTGATCTGAATATAACGGCTACTATAAATTATAGAAAATATTGAACACGCCGAGCGTTCGACGTAAATGGTTTCACAAATGGAAATAACACTCCGTTTGTGGACATGTTTATTTTCGATCAGGTTAAATTATAGGGCAGATTTCTTCGTATGAAATGCGCGGGCAGGCTTTAATTTCATGTACCTACATTTCATACTGCCGTTATCATTTCTTTACGATTCGTATAGCTAATTTATATAAACTAATAATTGCATATTTCCGAGAAACATTTATTAACCTTTAAAGCCAGTCATGCGCGTCCATGCCACAATTAAAAAGAAATGTAATGTCATGCAACCTCATCCCCGTACCTACTTCTTTGTGCAACATTCCATTTTGTTTTCCTAGCACGACCAAGAAGATTGCTTCACCAGAAACAGGCTACAATTAGAGATCATTATTTTTTTTATTTTCTTCCCGACCACTATAATGCCGTACCGCCTCGGGCGTATTAAGTTTTAACAACTTAATTTCGACCGGGGATTGGAGTTTTTGTTGGACTTTTTTTTTCGACTGAATAACTCCGTGCGTTGTTGCCGTTAATTAACATTACCTTGTTAGATGTAGGTATGTAATTTTTCTTCTTCAAATCATTAAATACCACTTAATGAGATTGAAATTCATTCAGATATGTTAAGACATTAAAAGTTTTGAATAATCGCCTCTGTGTAGGTATGTTATGTCAAAGTAATTTTTTGGTATTTTCACTTATTAGTTTAAAAATAATGAAAATTTCAATACGTAAATTCATTTACAATTATTTTTTGATCTTGGCAAAACTTAGTGCGCTGACGAAGGGTTTTATGCCTAGGGAGCCATGCACATGCATATCTTGCTAAACATTTACTCAACTCCGAAAAATTTCAATAAAAATTAGATTACAATGAGGTCCATCAACTCTCAAACAATAGTCAATAATTGATACTCTGGTAAACCAGGAACATTATCTGTTTAAAAGAATTGTTTCTTATCGGTTAATTCCAAGGGAGGATTTCATTTTTTTGGACGCATAGTGCATGTCAGCTTTCCAGTAATACTATAGCAATTGCCCGAACGGTTCGCCATCAGAAACAAATGCAGGTATTGATCCCAATCACGGTGATTGTCGGACACAACTTTTGACAAGTACTTCCCCATTGCCCTTCGTGCATTCTACCATTCCGTTTGACTGCGAGTGTGAAGCAGTGGGTCTAGTTTTGCGTATCCCCAGTAGTTGACTCAGGCTTTGAAACAGCGCCGAATCAAAATTTCATCACTTGTCAGCGTGTTGTTCCAGGGGTACTCCAAATCTACTAAAACGTTATTTTATCTGAACGTCTGCCACAGTTGTCGCTTCTCGATTTGATGGAGCATAGGTTTCTGTCCATTTGCTGAAATAGTTCATAGCCACCACAAGAGATATTTGTTTCCAGAAGCTGTCTCTGGGAAGGGGCCTGCTATGTTAATAGCTATTCTTTCATATGGATTACCTACATTATACTGCCTCATTGATGCTTTTTTCTTTCCTACTGCTCCGTTGCTTGGGGCACACACTACACATTTTTTGCACCATTCCTTCACATCTTGTTTGCAGTTAACATAGTGGAATCGTTCACGCACCTTGACCAGGGTTTGTAGCACTCCTTGATGTCCTCCCGATATACCATCGTACCATCATCATACAGATTTTCTACTCTCCGGTACTACTAAAGATTAGAGGATAGTCCTTGGTACTACTAGCTGCACAGTTATGGACGTGTCATTCTCATTTACCTTATTAAGAAGACCGTCTTCCAACCGTCTCACTGAACCTAATACGCCCTTAAAACTGGACCATATTGAGATACCTCTTTTTAGGCTGACTTTTTCTCTTACATTTCCCAGTTTATCGGGTTTGTCGGCACCCTCCGTCATTCTATTCTCGGAAACCAGATGAGTTTCGCCCGATTCACGTCAAATTGACAGACATAAAAAATGCCCTTTGGCTTATAAGTTTTATAATTTTTTTGAACGTACCAATCCGCAAGGCTGTTTCACAAACTTTTAGCTTCCTAGCTCAAACTAGGTGGTTATTGCGATGACTGTTTTTTGGACATGTTAAAATTTCATCAAACGTCGACGTTTCAGATCATTTTAAGCACGAAAAACAACGGGACGGATTTTTGAAAAAAGAAACTTTAACTGGATCTGCTTATGCAGACGAATTGGGGTGTAGCGGTGATTTCATTTGTGTGTTAAGGTAGACCTTGCGATTACTAGTTTCGTAATCTTATATATCAATGTCAATTAATTTATATACAGGGTGCCCCATTTCTCTTGAGACAATCGATATTGCGGAAACTTGCTACGGGGGTTCCTTCTGGACTTCAAAATTACCATCGGTTCCGCCCGGCAAGGCAAACCGTCTTCTTCTCAGGCTGCTCAATCGATAAAAATAAATGCTCCGGCTAACTCAAATCGGTGGGCTTTTAACTCTTTTGAAACTGCGTAACAAACCTTAACCTGCCGCCTACCAGTCTCCTGCCTCAACTCCTACTCCTCTCATTCCTTCCCCTCGTTCTTCGTTACAGACATAGGCACATTGAACCCAAATAGATCATATATTTAAATGATATTAGAGATACAAACACATTACAGGGATCTAGCAGTTCTTCTCTCCTCCTTGTAAAAACACTAGCTTAACAATGACAACTAAACTAAATAAAAAATCCTACCAGGTGAGACTAATTTACTCAAGGGGTGGCCATCCTCTACAGTTTGAAAATTTCAACAACAGGCCATCGGTTTTTACTCCAGCGTGGGCTGGGACTTATTTAAATAAACAAATCTATCCTACTCTTTGGTAATCGTTTTTTGGACTTTAATAAATAATCAAATCAAAATTTTTTACTATAGCTTCATTACCAAAAAGTGGGATTTTACATCAGAATGTTACAAATTTAATTACATTTGTACAGCCGATCTTGTGAACTGCTCTTTCCTCTGGTACAGGGTGGATGTGATGAAACCTGACACTTAGTTCTCTGTGACTTCCTAGGGGGTGGCTTGAAATTAACACACGGAAACAAAATCCACGGTGCCTATCCTTCCTCGGAACGAAAGCAAAGTTTAGTGTTTGAACTGAACTTAGTCCAGGAAATCCTTCGCGTGGCGAGTGGGAGACGGCTAGTTGCCAAAGTTTCTACACAGCAGGTGTATTTAATTTAAACAGTGACCCCTACTATTTCCTTCCACCGGCTCTTAGAGTTTATTAACTTTGATCGCCTGCGGGAGACAGATTTTTTAGTTAGCTACACGGCAGAACACAAATTTTTATGATCACTATCCGACGGTAAACCGAGATTTGTTCTTGGGTGGTTCGCTTTTTATTTCACCAGCTCTTCTTGGGGCAAATATCTCTCTAAAACGCAGCGCTCCTTCGACAAATGACCGTACGGCACTAGTAGGAAATTCCACCTGGGGCGGATCCCGAATATCGGCGTCTTGAGGACTAGGGCAGCACTTTGAATTATATATCCTCGAGAAATCACAACGTATCCTAACGCGATTCACTGCATCCAAAGTAAACTGGGGTGAAGCTCAAGGGTTCGCCAAAATATCACCTGATCGAAACCTGGGTCTTCGTCGCCCAAAAATCAACGCGAAAAGAAAATAACACTTCGAAACGGGTGCAAAAGGCACGCAACTGCGAGCAACCGAAATAAGCCGGTGGCTCAAACCGCTAAGTGTACCAAAACGATCGCTCAAGGTACGTGTTGACCGCTTGACGTACTAACCGCGAGTCTTTTAAAAACGATCGATCAAGGTACGTGTTGACCGCTTGACGTACCAACCGCGAGTCTTTCAAAAACGATCCCCTTCTTCAGAATTGAACTGAAAAAACCACACCCAAATTACCATAAAACAAAAATGGCTCCCGCTAGAAATTCTCCCATTGGTTTAGATAAAGAAGACTTAACCCACTCTAACTTCGTCGTCAACCTCCAGGAACTGCTGAATAAACTGATCTCACGGTTTTCTGCTGACGAATTTAAAACCCCTTATCTCTTGATGGCTCGGTGCTATATCCGCTCCTATTCTCGGTCTAGACGGCGCCTTGGGTGATAAACGAACGACAAAAATCTCGCATTACTCATGATGACGTCAATCAACTTTGCACTCTTCCCACGACGAAATTAAATCTTAGCGAAATTAAATCTATCGGACCATAGTCTTGAGCGAACCGAAATGCCCAAACACAAAATTTCTAACCGAAACAAATAATGAAATATACAGGGTGACCTTCACTATCATGACAAGAAATTTCGAATTTTTTAATGAAATTTGGCGCGAAATAAAACCACTCGTTACAAACTAGAGCAGTGGTTCCCAACCTTTTTTTGATAACGACCCTTTTCAAATTTCCTTGGAATCACCGCGACCCCCCAAATAAAATAAAAACAAAATAAAATACTTCAATAATTTATTTTAGATATATGGTGACATTTTAAGGCAGAACAAAAATATTAGAAAAAATCGATTAATGGGATGACTGCGCTTGCATCTGAGAAACCAGTTTCAAAATTCTAGGTTGCGTTTGACTTAATGCCAGTCTCATGTCGTCTTGAACTTCCAGTCTATTTCTTGCCTTTGTTTTTATTTGGAGAAGAGTTGAAACTCCAGATTCACAAAGATAGGTCGAAACAAATGGTACTAATACCCGGAAAGAATGTGTCGCAACAGTGGCATACGAACGACGCATGGAACACCAAAATTCCGTCAAGGTTTGTTCCTGAAATAAATCACGAGCTGAGGAATCATTTCGCATCTCAATAAATTCATCCTGAATTTCTTCCGGAACATCGGCAATATCCACTGACACGTGGAACGGGTTTCTCACCAGCGCAGCTTCTTTTTCGGAAAGTTCAGGAAAATATCGTTGCATTTCGTTTTCTAGCGATTGAAGATGTTCAATAATTTCCATCCGTAAATTTTTTGAAATCCTTCCTGCGATCCTTCAATCACTGTTGACATGTGTTCGAACATTGCCAAGTTTCCCAGACTTGCTTTACGTCGCCAGTTTTCAAGTTTGGAAACAAATGCCTGGAGATTGTCTCTGAATTGCATAATTGTCAAATTCTTACCCTGAAGTTTCAAGTTCAATTTGTTTAACTGGCCAAATATATCCGATAAATAAGCCATCCTCTGCATCCAAGCTTTGTCAGTTAGTTGTGCCATGAAATCTAATTTCTCCTGCATCTCCAAAAAAATTTTAAGTTCTTCTTACAATTCAAACACGCGTTCAACAACATTTCCCTTTGATAACCATCGAACAGCAGTATAGAAGAGCAGAGCTTCATGATCTGAACTCATATCTTTACAAAGTTCTTTGAACAAACAAGTATTCAGGGCACTAGATTTTATGTAATTAACTATTTTAATTAATGAATCAAGTACTTCTTGCAAAGGCTTTGGAAGAGTTTTTGTAGCGAGTGCAAACCGATGGATCATGCAGTGCAAACCCTTTGCTTGAGGTGCGAGTTCCTTAATTTTCTTCTGGAAGCCTGATCTGGATCCAAGCATCGCAGGTGCTCCGTCAGTGCAAATTCCACACAAGTTTTTCCACTCTAAATGATGTGTTTCAAAGACGTACGTATCATATTCATGACGTCTTCACTCTTCGTTGTAGTTTTTAGGGGTGCACAAAACAAAAATTCTTCTTTAATGTCATCCAAATGAATATATTTAGCGAAAACAAGTAACTGGGAACAGGAACTAACATCTGTAGATTCATCCAGTTGTAAAGAAAAGAGAGGGGACTCTCTTATTTCGCTTAAAATTTGCTCTCGCACATCTGCTGACATATCTGCAATGCGCCTTTGAATTGTGTTGTTGGACAAAGATATATTACGCATTTTCATCTCGGACGCGTCTCCAAGAATCAACTTAAGGCATGGCTTAATGAGCGATTCGGCAATTGTGTGAGGTTTTTTATTTTTAGCAACTTCGAGAGCAATTTCATACGATGCTTGAACATTCGCTTGGTTTTGTTGCTGAAAGCTTCCACTGAGGTCCAGTTTTTGGCGTTTTAAGTTACTTTCATGTCGTTTAAAAAAGTCCAAGTCTTTTGTAACATGTTCCGGGTGCTTTGTTTCCAAGTGCCGTTTGAGCTTTGAAGGTTTCATAGACTCGGCACTAAGAACTGCATTACATAAAACACATTGGGGCTTTTCTATGCCATTATTGACAATAGCACAAAATCCAAATTTTAAATAGTTATCTGAATACTTTCTCTTTTTATCCATGACTTTGGTTTCTGAAAAGAAAGAAAGACCCAAATTAGGTGTAGGTATTCCAATTTTGCTCCAGCAGAAATGCTACGAAAAATGTGGGTGTTTTGAAATAGAAGCCGATTTACACGTTGTCCGAGTTGTGACAATTATAGTGGCCATAACTTACGCCATATAAGTTATTCGCCGAACAAGCAGTTTTAAGTAGCGGTACCTACTAGCTAGCTACAGAAACGAATTTTTCAAAACGTATAGGTACGTACTTACCTAATTATTCAGAAAGCAAGCGGCAAGATTAGTGATTATAATAGTTGAGCAACACACAGTAACCAAAAGCAACACTAACTTGCCCATCATTGACTGACGAACGACTGCGCTGTCACGTTGGTACTAAATTGGCGCTAACACAGAGCGCTGGCCTCGTCCCACGATGCGCTAACAAGGCACCTCCCTTTCTTCTTAGGTCTGTCGACCTGTATTTTGAGGCGGTAAAAATGCGCGTTGTCACTTTCAAAAATAACATTCAAATAAATTTATTCGCTCTGCAATTGATGCTTTCTGTATTCAAGGTTACAAAAATTGGTGACTCCTTAAATAGCCACAGCGACCCCTTTAAAAAGCCACGGCGACCCCCTTGGGGGTCGCGACCCACCGGTTGGGAAACGCTGAACTAGAGATATCAAAAAATGATGTATACGAGTATAAAATATTCTTCATATAAAGCGGCCCATTTAATGATGCTATGACCGCTTGACGTACCAACCGCGAGTCTTTCAAAAACGATCCCCTTCTTCAGAATTGAACTGAAAAAACCACACCCAAATTACCATAAAACAAAAATGGCTCCCGCTAGAAATTCTCCCATTGGTTTAGATAAAGAAGACTTAACCCACTCTAACTTCGTCGTCAACCTCCAGGAACTGCTGAATAAACTGATCTCACGGTTTTCTGCTGACGAATTTAAAACCCCTTATCTCTTGATGGCTCGGTGCTATATCCGCTCCTATTCTCGGTCTAGACGGCGCCAAAGTTGATAAACGAACGACAAAAAACTCGCATTACTCATGATGACGTCAATCAACTTTGCACTCTTCCCACGACGAAATTAAATCTGAGCGAAATTAAATCTATCGGACCATAGTCTTGAGCGAACCGAAATGCCCAAACACAAAATTTCTAACCGAAACAAATAATGAAATATACAGGGTGACCTTCACTATCATGACAAGAAATTTCGAATTTTTTAATGAAATTTGGCGCGAAATAAAACCACTCGTTACAAACTAGAGATATCAAAAAATGATGTATACGAGTATAAAATATTCTTCATATAAAGCGGCCCATTTAATGATGCTATGCACATTTTTACATAACCGTCCCTTAAGGGCCCAGTGTAGGGAAACTTAATTTTTGCAAATAGAAGTCCATAGGTACTTTTTATTGAAATTGTTATTCTATACATTGGAAAGTAATAAACTTTCGTGGGAAAGGTTTTTTCCCTACGCTTACCATTTTTTGCAGACACTCCCAAAAGCGCGATTTTTTGTTTTATCTAGGAAGCTGTTTTGTCAAGAATTTGCCAAATTTTTTAAATTATTGTTCCTGCCTCGAGTCCCGCCCCCTGATTTAAATAATTACAGAGAACGCTTAATGCATTTTTCCCTAATCTTGAAATTTCAGTACCCGATATTACATGGAACCTCGGGGATACTTTGCATATTTGACGGCCACCGTTATTCCGTGAACCCATTTCACCATCTTTTCTGCCTAGAAATACATGATATTTATTATAATTGCTTAAAATAAAGTCCAGGGTTCCTACTTACAGATCCCGAAGAAATTTTATGTAACCCAGTAGGTATGGGTAACTAATGTTAACAATGTGCATTAAAATAATGGAAATCGGTTGACTATACCCATTTAAGTAGGTACATATGGATGATTTGTAAATTGAAACTCTCGTATAAAAATATTACATAACATAATGAGGGAAGGTTACATTATTTTTGTCCGAACACAAGTTAATGTAGCTTGATATTAAAGGTGTCGTTGTATCGTACACCTTAACTTTTGATAAGGCTGTACAAGCTATATTTAAATGAAGTAGGAAAAAAAAGGGAAACACCTCACGTTCGGTATAAACAGCACTTGCGGGTAAGATAATGTCTTTATTTATTCGGTACTAGCGCTGTGAAGTAAATAAAATTAAACAACCGTTTTACCTTACATGCAGCGCATGACACGCAAACCACAATATGGTAATGCATTTAATAACATTATTAATATATCAACAGGTTTTATGTGTTTTTAATAATTGATGATGTCATGCGAATAATGTGCATATAGGCTTCTGACGTATTTCACTCGTAAGTACTTTTTAATCGCTACAATTTTTCCAAAAAATAGTCGTTAACGCAGATAGTGGTTGTTATTATGATTACCTACAACCAGTAGCAGAAATCCGAAGATCGTTCACTTCAATATATGTAATAAAAATAAATGTAGGTACGAATTCATGAAATTTCCTGTTTGGAAGAAAATGCGTGCTTTGTTTCTCTCAAACTCAAAGATTTTTTCAACAAGGTAAAAATTATGAAGCCGAAGCGCATTGAATCCAAAACTGCCGGAATAGTAAAGTTTATTTCTTTTCTTATTTTTATACGTTCAAAGTGCGTAATTCATAAAGCTTCAATAATGCCATATCTTTTTTTCCCCATTGAAGTTGTCAAACCACTCAATACTTGCTGCGCACCTATCGGAAAGTTCTTTACAAGTTTTCATTGCTATTGTAAAATACATATCTGAATATAAAGGTCACCAAACCCATATTAACAACTGTCCAACTAGCTAAAAAATACTCTACCTCAATTTTTATATGAAAACCCTACTAAAAAGGACGGCTTGCTCACATTTTTCGTCTAATTTGACTATGCGTCTTTAATAAATTAACATATGTTTATGTTCAAATTAATTAGCTTTTACGGAGCAACAATGAACACCTTATCACACGACCGAATTTCACTGAGATCAACACACTTACCGCAATTATTTCCAGATGCCCCTAATCTTTTTTAAAGGTGATCTAACTGAACAATAAATCAATCAAAATACAATGTGATTATTGAAACAAAATTAGGCGTTTAATATCTCTAATACAAACCATCATTGATTTCAAATTCAAATAAAATGATCGAATTTGTGTTCAACCCAAATTAACAACCACATTTAACTTTAAAATGACTTTAAATTGACCTCATGCACGATGACTCATCATTACTATACCCATAAAAAGTCCGCATGCCGTAATTTACATAACGTACATATAATATATTGAACAAATTTATGTAATATTCAGTAATCAAATGACAAAAGCATATATTTCATCATCTACTGGTGGTTTCGTTAGTTAGTTAGTAAATGGAGGAATGCTATTTTAGATAATAATGGCGGGTATGTTATTGGCATTTCTGATCAAGAGAATTCTTGCATTTTAGAAACTTGAAGTCAAGCCCATTTAAGTAGAAATTGGCATCTTATTGTCAGAGCAACATTATGCTTTTGTGATTAATTTTTAAGAGCTTTCCAAGTGGTGGATTATTGCTTAAAATTTCGACGTGATTGAGAGCTGGAGGTCATACGATGAAGACGCCGAGATACTGAAATATGTTGGTGCCTTATATTTCTCAGTCTCAGTATGACCAAACAAATTTAGCGCCACATAGCGTAGAACACGTTTTTTTCAAATAAACCATTTAGAATTCGTAACCATTTTATCAAGAAAATTGAGCAATAAACAAGGAATTGTAAAAGTTTAAAGAGAGCACTGCAGATAACGTTCACGTGCGTTGTTGCATGCTTTGAACACATACATTTTCTAGGGCCTGTTAAAAATATTTTGCCTGAAACGAACTCATGGAATATACTTAATTTCGAACACATTTATACTCTACTTATACAAACCTCTGCTTCCGCTTCCGCGGAAATTTGGCGAATTTTTTCACTTCGACTTCCGCCTAGCATTTCGCTATTTGATAACGGAAGTATACCGGAATTTTTACTTCTAAACAAAATTAACCTTAACTTATTCTCTTCCTGGTTATTTTTACGTTTATGGTTCCTAAATTTTGGCGGACGTGGGAATCTGTTCGAAATGAACATCTTGAGCCGCCAGCAGGAAAGACAGTCGTTGTGGGAGTGGATAAGTATCAATAAGTCCTTGCATTCTCCGGTATTGCACAAAACGGTCGGAATTTGAGTAGGCCTCAATTTGCCACAGCACTGTCGATAATTCTTCAAAAGTTAGCGTCCTGTTTAATTTCTATATTAGAGGCATGGAAATAATATTACGACAGGGGTAAACTGGAGGGAACGTAATGGAAAGAAGAAAGATATGGTATCTGGCATACGCGGACGATGCAGTGATAATGACAACAGAGGTAGAACATATAAAAGAAATGAAGGGAAGAATAGAGAGGTATTGGGAAAGGAAAGGACTGCAGGAAAGGCTAAGATGTTGAGATTTGGGAAGGGCAGTGGACTGAAAATGGAATAAAGTGGAGATTGGAAAGAATAGAAGAAGTAAGAAAAGTTAATATTTATGCTACCAAATGCAATGAAATAATGGGGCAAATACGCTTATAAGAGAACCAAGGGGAAAATGGGATATTTGGGTTATTAAAAAAATTTTAAGAATAAACATTCGGAAATTAATAGTTATTTGTACAACTAGTGATCCTTTTTGCATGAATTTGCATTGAACAAGTTAAAAAAAGACACTTTCAAAACATATTGAACACGAATTATTTATATAATGATTCTTAATAACCCATAATTAACATTCACTATTTACTGTTTAGGTGTAGGCGGTTATTACAAAAAGGGGTGCAAAAAGTACGCTAAAGTTTAATGACCGCCGGAGTATGGACGGTTTATATTTTTAACACCAAAAGATCACCCTTAAGCAATCCATGAATCACGATGTCTATAACGCCCTACAGACGTATCAAAAAAAGTTTTATACAAATGATTCGAGGATCTTTAATGTCTACTAGGCAGTAGTAATTTTAATTATACAGGGTTGGTCATAAAGGCATAGCATAATTTGTAAGAAGCATAATGTACCCAAGATGCAATTGTGTTTATTTTCAAAACTCGATAACCCGGAAACGATTGAATTTAGGTATGCTTATTACAAATTCTGCTTAAAATTGAGAGAAGAATTGAAATATTGAATAATATACAAGGTGTTCTATTTAAAAAAATGCAATTTTTATGTGCCGCGCCTTTATGAGCAACCCTGTGCAATTAAAATTATTACTGCCTACTAGACATTGAAGAACTCCAAAACTGTTGTATTAAACATATTTCGATATTTTGCATTTTTTTTCTTTAATCGACAGTTACTAGATTTATCATCGACCCTGTATTTTTAAAAACCTGCTTGCCAAAAGTTCCCATTATTCAGGGTTTCCTCGGAGGGAAGAGCTCATATTTTAAGGCTTGCTTACACGTAACTTTTACCTTGAGCCGGCCCTACGTGGCAATATGGTATAATTAATTACCATTGTAATACTATCATGTTAAAATTATAGTCATTTCCATTTAATTATTCAACGCATAAAAGTAGCATATCTCAGAGCAATCCGGCTAGACAAGTTTCGAATTAACATGCAAATTCGCCTCCCTCTTGCATTTTATTTGATCGCTTTGGTTTTATGCGACCCTTTACGTGAGTACCTCCCACAAACTGCACAAATCAGTCAAATTTCTCTTTCTTATATTAAGCCGGCATCTTCAAGAGATGCAGAATAAATTTATAGCGAATACTACCATCGGAGTCACTTTGACTTGTAACAGAAATAAAGACAATGACAAAGAGTATATAAAAGTAACGGACGTGAAAGTTTTAGTAAATTGGGGAACCATGGTACTACACTATGGTAATGTTTTCAAAGATGACGAGCAACGCAATCGAAATCTGGATAAAAAAGTGAATGATAACTCGAATGACATTTTGGAAACTGCAAAAGGTGACTTTCAAGTTTTACTGGAATCTTTATTTGAAGATTGGTCCAACAAAGTGTTCTCTAAGTATGCTGTGAATGAGATTTTTGACATCAGTTAACTTTAACTATGGTTACTGTAGGTACTGAAAATTGTAAAAAATAAGTTCGTTACAGTAGTTTCAAAGTTCGATACACCCTCGTGCATACGAGGAAATTAATAAAAAAGAGATCAATGCATTCATTTTTTACTATTAAACCAATTATAACCAAAATGAATAGATCTTGTACTTGAATTTGATCAAAATTCCTCATTATTCTCATCGAGGAGCGAGTTGTTTGATATTTTAATATTTTTTATGACTTATGATATCGTTTAACTTTTAAAAAATGCTTCCAAATGGAAGAATACAACCAAAACCACAGACTCCTGATTTCAAGTGTATTTATATCCAAATTAACATATACAGGGTTAGTAGCGTATTTTTTAAGAAACAGTTTTGAGATATGAAAACCTAAATTTTATAGAAGTATACGTCTCAACGACGAAACAAAAGCATTTTGGCGCAAAAATCTGAGGAAATCTTTCGTCTTTTCGCATCATTACTCGTCTTAAAGGTTTTATAAGATGGAGAGATCACAAATTTAGTAGTGAAATGGATACCGACGAAGAAAGCAAACTTAAAAGGGCAAGGTCTAGATGAGCTTTTTGGGGAAATAATTTGGTGAACATCTCCAAAAAAAGAGAAAAGAGCAGGTATTGAGGAAAGGAAAGAGAACAATGCCAATGAAGAAAAAGACAAAGGAAAATAAACGAAAACGGATTACACGAAACTCATAGTCGGTTGTAAGTAGTGGATCTGTGATAACCGAATAGACCAACTAGGAAAAAAAGTTAAAAAGTAAAAGAGGAAAATGAATCGGCTATAAAATAGGCAACGATTAGTGAAGAACAACAAGGGAATAATGTTCGACGAGGCAAAAAGATTATGTACATGAATGTTAGAGGCGCACTTTATTACGTGGGTATTATTTAATTTAGATGGAGTAAGTGTGGCCCTTCTTTAATTTTGATATTTGGAACGCAAAGAGTAGGGTTCGGTAAAACGAACGAAAGAACGCAATCTGTATCGAACCGATGAGCAAACTCTGTTATTAATTTGAACGTTTCAAGAAAGTTATCTATTTTTTATGTTGGGTGGTGCTGGACAGTAGTACAACTCCTCCTCCTTCTTGTCCCCTTTATCACCTTATTAGTAATTCCAATAGTGTTTGATACGTGTGGCTCCCAGTTTTTGAATTTATCATATTGAGACATTACGAGACAGAAAATTCTCATGTAGTTCCGTTGTCAATTGATAGATGATAGGAGTCCGGATTTTTTGTCTGTAGTAAAACAACGAAACGTGTACGACAAAAGTCAAGTGCATGGTAGGGGTGGCCAAAATGAGAATAATTACACTCTCAAACTGCCTGTGAAGCAAAATTCATCCTCATCTGTCATTTATTTTCAAATTTACTAATCGTTTCAATAGCTTCATTTAAAAATTAAAATTGAGCATATATGCGTTACCGCAACTTCGTTGTGTTACGCTAAAAAGTTGATAGTTTCCAAAAAATCATAAAATGGTGATATTTTGAATGTAGCGGAGCAAATCTCAGATTCAGATTTGGCACCCCAAAAATTACCCCATAACTTTTCAGCGAGGAAGTACAAGTATCTATCAAAATAATTTATTCAGTTAATATCAAATATTTCTTTTATCGAATATTTGGAAAAAACTTTGTTCGATATATCTTTAACGCTATTGGATATATTGTCTTGAAGCTCGTCAGTGACCGTCTCGATAAACGTTTTGGAGTTCTCGTTCAAAAAATTATCGACCTTTTTATTGTATTCGTCGTTGCCTTTTACAATCTCACCCAACTGAATTAAAACGGGCTGGCCCCAGACAATGGAAGTTTTAACATCGGTCACTCTCATATACTCTTCATTGTCCTTTGTATATTTTTCGCAGATCATGGTAACGGTCAGCCCTACGTTTCCTAAAAAGAGTCTGTAAGATAAAGTTGAACAACAAGAATGTGTTTTACTTTACATACGAGTCCTTTTCCTTCTCCTCGAGCGTCGATTTCTTCACCCAAGAGATTCCCTTTTAAAGTGTAATTGCCATATAGACGTAGCTCGGGATGAAACGTTTCCAAGGACATTTCACATTTATCCAAATTGACTCTAGTAAAGAGAATTTCAGGTTTTGAATGTACAATCGATACCATACCCACCTAAACTGCTTCACATTCAATTTGGGTAAATGTCCCACCTTGTTATCTTCATATCGTTGATAAATGTTCATAGGTCCGGGTTTGGGCAGTATCTCTGTTGTGCCTACGTGCAGGGGATCAATACTATCAATACCCAACTCCTTTAAACCTTCAATAATAGATGCCACAATATGCACTCAGCTCAAACCTGTCCGCTTACCGTTCCCTAAATTCGCTATCGCATATTCTGCACTGGATTTCAGACAGGATTCGTCTTCCAGCTTGCATTTTTTGAAAATGCTCGCTAAAATCATAAAAACTTTAATAATGACATTTACAGCAATGCACTCACGTAAAGATGCTGATGAAGTTATGCCAGTTACACCAAGTGCAACAAGTGCACATATTTGCAAATGGAATTGCATTTTAGATGTGCACATTTGTTTACAAAGTAGAAGTTTATATACGTACCTACATTGCACTTTAATTCGTGATTACATGTAAATCACCTTCAGGGAAGAGAATCATTTGCGTCGTTTATAAATGATAACGGAAATGGTACTCAAAAAACCGCGCTTCTGCTTCATAGGCATTAGGAGTGAAGATGCCTTACTTAATCCATATATCACAGAGCGAAAGCTACCCGGTTTTTACGCTTTTTTTCTGTGAAAATGGGAAGTTTTGAAAACTTGGATAAGTAATTAAACAATTATAAATGTATCTCTTTGGAAACGAGTTTTCTTCTATAATTATGCATGATATTCAGGTTCGTGGCCATCGAGTTAATAATTTAGAAGTCGTTAATTTTTTTCGTATTGCAGAGACGAATTTCTTTAATTTTTCTTGGATTAAATTTAAAAGATTTTCCAATTTTTTATGCAACAATTAAGTATTCTCCACTCTATTACAATGCACAACCTGTCTCCATTTGTGGTTTCTCCCTGATATGAAAACCATTTGAGTTTAAAAATGATACTAAACCTAAAACTCAACTCAAACTGGTTATTTACTACATGCTACATGTAACAAGCCTATTGAAAATGGGTCAAATCGAGACCTACACTGAGATTTTTCATTCGTCGATCAGACATCCAAGATAGGTAATTTATTCTGTTTTTTAAATGCGAAACAGGACTATGTGCCTACCGTCTAAGAGAAAAGGGAACCACAGAACATCTATGGCGGTTGGGTCGTTTTAAATACTACTAAACAAGGCAAAAAAAATAAGCCCCGATCATATTCTCTTTCCTACTAACCCCAAAATGTATACTGCAAACCTTAAAACACCTCCACTCCCAAATCAACTCGTTTGTTGGTTGGACTGCTGTTGATTACTCACTCTTACGACATGCAGTGTCTTTGCAGTAGGGATATTCTTTCCCGACCTTACACAGGCATAAATATGTTTATTTTTCATTTGCCTATTATATGTCAATTATATCTGTCATATGTGATATATGAAGCAGTCTATTATGCCCAAGGGCATAATGAGAGGGCATAATGTGTTGTCATCTCATTATGCCCTCAAACGGCCTGTCAAATTGATTGACGGAGTTATATTATGTAATAAAAAAGATGCAACTTGATTCGTATGAAGCACTTTAATGTTGGGCAAACAATAATCATGACATTTGTATATTGGAAATGCATTCTTGGGAACGATGAAAAATAAAATGTTGTATGCACCTCAGGCATTACTCAATATTTAACCCTCGGGCGACTTACAATCCCTTCGGCCGGAGGCCCTCGGGCTCTGTCGCCCTCGGCATAAATATCGCCTTAATGCCCTTGATGCATAAATAACTATTCTTGTTTACGCATGGTAATGAGTTCAGACATTTTTCCAGGGAAATCGACTGATAACCAACCATTTTACATGACAGGTGAAAATTATGACACCTTGTACTTAAAGGGTACCATTTGTGACGGATTTTTATGAACTGGTGCAGGTTGAAAGTTTATATTCCAAAATTACAAGGATTATGTTCGACAAGGATCTTGACCAAACGACAGTTTGGTCAAGATCCTTGTCGAACATAATCCAACACTGGTAAACGTAAAAAATAATCGTCCAATACACAAGTGAGCACAATTGCGACATTTATTTCCACCAAATCTGAAAACGGCGCTATAATATAAATCTTTGTATTGAAATCATCTTGTAATTATAACCTTAATAGCATACTAATTATGCATGCAACTCAATTAATAATTAACACAGATTTATGTAATTATTTAAATTACACAATTTGTCAATGTTATTAATATTATAAATGCATATGCCTATCGTAACTACCTTGAAATATCCCCACCTCCCTTCCCATACAGGTACATAGAGTCGTTCCAAATGTTCGACGACGTTCCGTTGTCATAAAACACGAATACCTTGCCTTATTGGGAAATGATATTTATCAGCCGGATGCAAGCACTAAATTTTGCATAGAGTTTCCAGAGATCTTAACAAACAATTTCCGAAGGGTTATTACTTCGAGGGATCAGTGGGAATTCTTTTTGTAAGGGTTCGAATTCATGGAAATTGACATTTTGCCATTTTTCTCAGAAACTTAAATTTTTAACCTCTAAAGCTCTAACCAACTCAAGGTTGGTGAAACAATGGAAGTTTTCTCCTTAGATGAGTATTATTTATATATAAAAATGAGAAAACTGTATACATAAAACAACCCTTGGCAACAATTAATTAATTAATTAAAAAATCTGTTTAATTAGACATGGTGCCATATAAAGCCTCGGTTTTCGGCCGATATAGATAGCTCATGGTATTTTCAAAAGAGGAGAGGCTGTTCGATTCAATAATGACAGCAAATTATCTGATTCAAAATCGAATTCATATGCCTGTGATTTGAATCGAAGTGTGAAGCTGTTAATTTTTGTTTTGGAAACGGTTTTATAAAAATTACATTTCTAGTTTTTTACTACCGACATTCATTTGAACATGGAGAATCATCTCCTTGAAACAAATTTTGCGTGATCATAACTTTTGCAAGCTCCAATGTATGCGTTGAATGGTAAGTGACACAGTTCAGGTTTAGTAATAAAACTTCAGAACAGCGACTCCACTCAACTAATTACCTAGTGACAACTTATGTGTTAAGTGCTATAATAATAGTCGGCGGAAAATGCTACCTACATCCGAAGAAACCAAAGCCCTTTTGGGCTATAATCCTGACTTATCCGCACAGGAACTGGAAGATGCAGAACGACAGGCAATGGATACTTCAAAAACTATATATGATTTGAAAACAGAAATTGCAGTACTATTGAAGGTGGGTACTTAAACGAAATACACTGTCAGGTAAAAAGCACAAAGCCCGCAGAAAGAAAAAATGACCGAATTAGAAACCAAACAATTAGAGGAGAAGAACAAACAATTAAGCGACCAGTTGACCATATTTGACGCAAAAACTGACAAAATTCGGTTTCTTATCGATCAGGCCAGTCGATTTCAGGATTTGATATCGCCTAGACCTCGAGAAAACTTTAACGAAGACATGCTACCGAAAGTGATTGTATGTGGAATAGCCGAAAATAATATTCCAAGAATCATCGTTTGTGACGACAAGAGAAGATCTAGAAATTACGCCAGTACATCCAGCTTTCCCGTGCCACAAACTGTAATTTGTGTCTCTCTATTGGGTATCGCTATCTAACTTGTCGCTTTCAGAGAGTACTACCGCAGCTGGCTAAGAAACTCAGCGAAAGTTATGCCATACAAAAACGGCTAGCTGAGGAAGATGCGGATTTAAAAAATAAAAAGCTCAATTGATTTTTGCAATAAGGGTGACACAAGTGTAAAAGTGGATAATTTTGATTAACGCACACAAAAGGCAGCTGGCGATTAAAATTTGAAAGTGATGTTATTACTCTATGCATACTTTAATTTTGTAGATAATGGCAACTGGTATTGACGCAAGTAATGCCAGTTTCATGTAGCATCACTGATTTTGATCGCCAGTGTGTTCCGTTTGGTATTTTATGTAAAAAATGGCCCATTTTTATCACGTATATTAAAACCGTTTCAATTAAATTCGTACAAGTTGTTTTACATGTAACCAAATTTACCAGCCGGAAATCAAAGCGTCTATTCTTCCGAAGAGCTCTTCTTAAGTGGCTTGCAGGATCCTTTCGCCCCCTTTGCCAAGTTTCCTCTCCAGCACTTTCTTTCATGTTTAAGTTTACTCGCATGTTTCGTTCATATTTTCCTTAAGTTCCTCCCAAAATCCGAATCATAACTCCTTACGCTTCTTTCAATTTCATCGTAAGCCTCTCTCAAATTGCTCTCAGGTTTCCCGCAAGTTCCTCCATACGCTTCCCAGTTATTTTGTCGGTTCCATTACCATTAAATTCCTTGTAAGATGCCATCAAGTCTACTTAAAATTCATTGTTCCTCTAATGTGGGGATTTGGGTACATGAAAAATACGAACCGAGTTACCACAGACGTTCATTATCTGCCATGTGGCACATAATGTACTCTACAAGCTAAGCTTGTTAGCTTGTAGAGTTCTATAACGCGGAAATTTGATGGTGATTTGACAACCTCTGACATCGTTTATTATACAGGACGACAAAGGAATGTTTTCACGATTGAGTGAATTAAATTTCACGAGATGGTTAGTTTCCCTTTATCGTCGTGTGTAATACAAAACTGTATTTTATAGCAGAAGTCATAGAAATCATTATAAAACTTTTGAAAATTCTCTAGGTATTTAGTATATACGTCCAAAATATCAAGCTTAGGTTCTCCCGTCGTTTCCATGGAAGCCATATTGTATTCTGTTCTGAACTTCATTTTATATCGTAGTCCGCGTCCCATTTTTAATAAGAATGACAGATGTCATTGGAATGCACAATAATTTATTTCACTGTATCTATCCTTGTTAAATTAAGACCACTACCCTTACGGTTAAAAAGACACTTGGCCTACTGATTCAAACCTACTAAAATGTAAATTTAACATCTCCTATAAAATAAAACTAGGTATATATTAGTATTAATGTGTCAGTTTTGGCAGGAGTCTGGTAAAGTAACAAGCGAGGCAGGAAAGGTAGTCAGATTTAATGTTAGTGCCACTGTCACTGAAATGTCCTAGGGATGAAAATGAAGGTTTTACCACGATTTCGAAAAAAAATATATCAAAGTTACCAAGTTACCATACATCTAAACTAAACAAAATAGATTTCCTTTTATGAAGTTAACCCGACAGAATCTAACATCTGTTGCCTTTACCAATGAATTCTATACTGAAAAATAAGTACAGTTTGTGACTACTTGCATCCCTATATATCTAAAATGAACGGATTTCTTGAAAGTTGATCAAATCGAAAGTTTGCGACCAACGTAACTGGTATAACTTTAAATGAAGTTTGATTTTAGAGAACCACCGAGAAACAACTGCTGCTGTATCTGTAATCTGTATCACTATTTCACCATCTATAGCTTTATTTTATTATATTATTTATGTATTTATTATATTAATTTATTTTCGATCATCATCACTGTTGACTAATTTCACCAATTTTTATTGCATGTTTATTGTTTATCCTCCTTGACTACTCTGTTTATTAACAATCCTGGTGCGTTTATAATTGCTGTCTGTTTGTCTGTCCGTCCGTCTGTCTTCCTGTATAGAAACCTTCGATTGCTTTGAAAATTGGTACACATGGTCTTAAGGATATAACAAAGGTCGCTATTGTTTTTTAGCTACGTAGAATGCGCTTTTATTTTCATCATTTGCCCAAGGACTGGTATTGTGCTATGCTCACCATGGTCGCTGAGGAGAACACGACCTTGGTTGCTTATGCAATCACCCGGTATGCTTAGAATCAGAAAAAACACCTACACTGGCATTGACTTACTATAAAGTACTATTATAATAGGTACCTAGATACCTAAGTAACTCAGTAAACTTGCAGGGGAAGGAAAAACATCTAACAACCTTCGATACTGATAGATCTCGATGAGCATATGGGTATCTACTCGTTTGAAAATTATAATTTTTAGATATTTTTTGTGTATTTTGAAAAATGACGTTTCTTCGAAGCGCCATATCTCGGTAATTGACATACCTACACAAATCCTTTAGTCAACATTTTTGGAAATTTAGTGCTCTATAGATGTAGGTAGATGCTTTTGTCGTAGGAAAAAAGTTATTGAGAAAAATCGCGAAGACAGTCAAACATTTTGCAGTCCCCCTCTTTTCGCAAAGGGTCTCAAGGTTGAAAACTTGAGAAAATGTTAAAAAACCATCCCTAAACAACATCCCAAAAATTCCTTAACTTCCGACCTTTTGCTATCTGATACTATCTGTCGGCTGGACTAAGGCAGCGATGTCAAACCTTCGCCAATCGATTTCTACGAGTTGAAGGAACAGTGGTATTGAATAAGAGCAGAAAAAAGTCGAGTTTCCGAATGCAAGCTGAGTAAAAAAAATTCTCCTACTGAAAATCGTATGCGATTCACCGTACGGTTACTTATCAAAATCTATATGTTATTTACCATCCTTGGAGAATATTAATTGTTTTTAAAATTTATAATAAAGTCATTGTGTAGAATTGAGTATTAGGGCATTATATACTCCCATATTCAAAACAAAGCGTATGATAATTAGTATAATGAGTGATGACCATAAAATATGGTACAAGAACCAGAATGTGCATCTAAACATTAATTATTAAATTTCGTTTCATTGTTACTGTCACTAATCCCTCAAGATTACTTTTGCACAAAATTTTGCTCCTACTATGCATGCATGTGCAAGAATATTAAACAAACATTTATTGTCTGAATAATAAATAAAATACAAAATAATTTTGAACATTTCTATTTACTACTTACAAATCTTTATTTATGTATTTTAGAATGACCTTTATTTTCCTAAAAAATAAGAGCTGTCCGCTAGTACAGTTATTACAATAAATTACTTGTCCTTCAAATTTGTATAATATTAATAATATACTATGGGCAGAAGATTACGTTATCCTCCTTATTGTTTTCCACGTACCAAATTAAATTTCCAAACTTTGTTGGGCCCAATTTCGACAACGTAAAGCGACGATGTGTTGGGCGACGCCGCTATAGCGTGCGGATTTTGAAATTTCTGTAAACAAAAAATGCGACAATTACTTTCGAATATACATACATTGACAGTGTTTACATTTAGCACGAAAGTTCTAAGTGTGGAAAATTGTTAAACTGTGTCACTTCTTAGTTTATTTTTCGAATGTATGTTTACTGGACTTATTTTCATATATCACGACTGTGAAAGTTGCTTAAGTAGCAATTTTGAGACACTGTTACATAAGGAATCTGATTTTCGTTAATATATGTATGTCAGATTTATATGTTTTTATGTTAATTCGATGTAAAGCATGTGAAACCCGGCAGAGATTTTTTTTTTAATAAAAGGGTCAATCAAGATGGCAGCAATACATGAAAGATCTGTACAACGCCAGCAAACAGCCATTAGAAATGTAGGTGGATGCAGAAAGTGATGTGGGTACTTCTGTAGCAGAGATAGTTGCTTATGATGGATGGCTAGGCTGCAAGAGTATAGACAGCATGTCAGTGGATCTTTTGAAATGAAAGAAGGGTTGAAAGAGTTGACTGCTTGATGTATTATCCTCCAAATATACACAAGAACCGCAATTACGGTGGTCAAAATAACTGGAAAAAGATGCTTGGAGAAAGGGAGAAGTTTGAAAGTGTGTTTTGTTGACATGTAGAAGGTACTTAGTCTTGGAGGGAGAGGAATAACTTCTATTAGGTTTTCTGACGAGAGTAGTGTGCAGGAACTGAAAGAAATGTTGCAATAACTTCAGACGGTGGAAGGTAAATGCGAAGAGGAACACCAAAAAGGGGAACGTGATGGGTATCGGTAAACAAGAAAATGTAGTTTGCGTAAGAAGAAAGAAGTACGTAGAATCCATCACCTACAGAAAGTGCACGTGCGCGTTGGTAGTCCGTTGCAATAGCATTTTAATGGTGTAAAAGGCTAAAAATGAAACTAAATCATCGACCCTACCAGATGTAGGCTACGAAACGATACACAATGGTAGAATGTGAAAGAAAAAGGTATTGCAAAACACACTGAGGGTTAGGCAGCCCATAATACGTAACGTCGTCACTGGAATTGAACATGCAAACGCAATTCATCTCCATCTTTGAATATAAAATATTTTATATTCAAAGTCTATATACAATTTCAATTTGTGTACATTTACCCCTTACCCACCTCAAATGGACCCCAATCCCCGATCACTGTTTCATTTTCGGCGCTAATAATAAATCCCTGGACCGGAAGCTGCATATCGAAAGGTAATGATGGTCCATTAACTGCATAAATAATTTCACCTGCAATGAAAATATATTATCGCAGTTAAGTCAATTTAGGTAAATTTAGGTCAATTTCTGTAGACGAATTTACCTACCTACTGCCGCTATTCCAAAAATTCGACCCATATCTGGAGTTTGAATTGTAAGCGGCTGCGTCAAAGATCTCTCACTAAGCTCTGCAGAAGGACAAACCACTCTTTTATTTTCTCTATCGGCGACACAAATTCGGTCCAAAGACTCTATTAACGCCGTATGATGAGGAACGGACAGAGAGAGACATTCTAAAAAAATCAGTTTATGTAAGCTCCACTATCTCTCTGTTAAACAATGAACCATTTCCACTGGGTATTGTTCTCATAAGACGCCCCAACGCCGTAAACTTTAAAATTCGGCTGTTGCAGTAACCGTCGGCGATGAATATTTCACCGGTGGAAGCAACAGCAACTGAGGTCGGTTTGCAAAGGTGATCTTTGTCGTCTCCCGGTTCGAAATTCTGTCCAAAAATCAACTGCGGTTCGTCCATGTCGGGGCAAAACTAAATTCAATTGCAAATGTAAATTGTCATGCTATTGCCGACTTACCTTGAACGCCTGATGTCTGGCCACGTCTGTTATCCACATGTTGTTGTGGTGGTCGATTGTAAGTCCGTGTGGCATGTAGAATATGTCTTTTCCCCATTTTTTCAGGACGCGTCCAGTTTGAGGGTCTAGGGTTAAAACCGTGTGAGAAGTTATTGGTCCCAATTTTTGGTGGCGGTAGTTATTATTGTAATCAAAGGTACTAGAAGAGAAGAAACGGTGATTAGTAGGTGAGACTATAATGTATTTACATTGGATTAAATATAACAAGGAAGATTGTAGTGTAAATGTTACGGACGGAATATTTCCAAGGGAGAATCTAACGGTTAGGATACTCTTCTGTATTGTAACAGTTCCTGAGAAGAAATGCTCCGGAGTAAAATGCTCACCTTCTGATTTCCGGGAGAGCACTACTCCATGAGTGTGAGAGCAAAGATGGTAGGAAACAATTCATGTTAAGGCTAGGTACCTGGAATACAAGAACAATGATCAGAAAAGGAAAACTAGAAAATATAATGGAAGAGTTTGGCGCAGGAGACTACAAAATGGTTTACAAAGGAGGACAGAAAAAAGAAGCAGAAGTAGCAATTTTGTTCAAAAAGAAGTTGTACCAAAACATTACCAAGATAATTCCAGACAGTGTTAGCGATCAAAGTGATGAGTTGGCCGGTAGACACTCTTATAATTCAAGTCTACGTACCAAAATCAGACGACGAGATGGGGAAAAATATTGACTGATATATACAGAGTGTGTTGCAATTTAAAAAATACCAACCTTGGGTCAAATTGCAGAAACGGTGGTCCAAAAAATCTTTTTACTACTCCACTGGATTCTATGTAAAAGCGTCTAAAAAAACAGTGTTTGCCCTTTTTCTATCTTACATGGGTAGTAAGATATGATAACATCCTAAAAGTCAAACTTTCCATGATTCTACTCGTATTTGTGGTATTAAAAATATCATAAAAAGGTGTCACAGGGTCGCGAAAACCGTAAGTTTCTATCTTTAAAAGCAGCTGAGATACACCGTTGTCTCAACCAAAATAGGACACACGGTACTCTTCAAATTACTTTTACGTTGACTTCTTCTTTTTCTTGGATTTCTTCTTAAATCAAGTTCATCTCAAGCTTCTTCTTACGTTCCATCAAGTCTTCCTAAAACTCCTATCAGTACTGCTGAAATTTCTTTCACGTTCCTCTCAATTTTCTCGCAAGATTCTTTCAAGATTCTCTTAAGTTCGTTTCAAGTTTTCAAATTCCTTTCATGTTTTACCGAAACCTACTTAATTTCTCTTGAAACGTCCCTTTGTTCCTCTGAAGCTCTCTTCACAAGTTCCTGCCGAGTTTTCAAATTACTCGGAATGTCCATCCTCGCTTGCGTTAAGTTCCTCTCCAGTTGCTATTAAATTTGTAATTAAGTGGGACTCAATTTGCATAGATTTTCGCTTCTTGAAAGAATTTTAATGACACAGGCCCAGGAAGCCATTTAAATTTTTCAGGAGATGAAATGAATGATTTGAGAGTGAAGTGAAAGTGAGTGAATTTGAAACCGACTTTTATACAAATTTGAAGTTTCGAGCATTAAGTTGGTTTAATAGAGGATGCATGTTTTAATTGATACATCTTATATAATTGCATACATATTTTGCTTCTCATTAAAATTTCTTAACATTATTAAAGGGCGATAGCCGATATCTGATGTTATAATTATTACAAAAACTATTACCTTCGTTATTACCTTTTTTGAAATGCGAAATGTTTCTTTATTTGTGTCAGTCGTTTGACGATACAATTGAATTATAAATGCGATTTAAACAAGAATAATATGATTTTTTTAATATGAACAAAGTTGAGTTTTTCTCAAATTCGTTACCAGTTCCCGAATTCCCCCTCATATCTCCTGCAACATTCCCTTAAGTTTCCTTCAAATTCTCCTCAAATTTATGTCAAATCCGTTTCAATTTCTCAAAATCTTTCTATGTTGCGCTCTCAAGGTACCTACTCCAAGTTATATTTTTTATATTTAGATTTTTTTGTGAATATAAGATGCACTACGAATGCATTGGTTTCTCAATCATCAATAAAATAGTGTTGCCCAGAGTGGTTGAAGCAGGTCTACTACAAATTATTATCTGGTTTTGTATACATACACCCTCAGGATTTAAAGACACACTTTGTTCCCTTGATAATATTATACTAATATTTCACAATTTTTTTTGTTTCAAATATAATTACTTAGTAATTGACAAAAATAAGGTGGAGGAAAATTTGTAATAGAAAATTTTTCAGTTTAGATATAAACCTATGCTCGATCGAAAATTCACTCATTCCAGGATTTTGTAAGTGTAGTCTTTCACTTTTCGAATAACTTTAATTTAAAAAAATTACTCTTATGTTTGAAGGAATTTACTATGTTAAGTTCTATTATTTATTAAATTAAGTTTGATTTACAGAAATAATAAATTAATTAAGGTTCTAAGGTGGTCGATATCCCCTTACTTGTCCTATGTTTGTCTCATAGATTACTAATGTAATTAGGTACAATTTATACAAAAATTACATCTGGAGTGGTTGTTTAGATAATGCACAGACCGAGTACAAAGAGTCTTCTTTAAAACGAGAGTAAGATTTCCGCCCTAAGGCGAGTAATTTTAGCGTACCTATTACCTTTTAACTTTTCACGTGACGTCTTCTGAACACTTATAAAATTCATCATATTTACAAGAAGAATACAAAACGAAATCAAATCATCTTTCTTTTCGTGTACTACTCTCTGTTTTTTTTAAAATGCTGCCACTTGCTATTTTAGTGTATACACCTAACAGTTCCCATGCACACTTGCACTACTTGCCGAGAGGCTATAGGGTATAAGCGCAAGAGACAAGCATTTTTATGGTTAGCAAAGAGTGCCCGTAGTATGGGTACATTTGCTTTTGTCATGTAGGTATGCTTAACGAATTTAAAAAAAAATTCGTTAAGCCGCTTGTGAGCAATAAAGCCTGGGACAATCTATGTAGTTTCACAGAAAAATAAGGTCTTTCGAATACCTTAATACAAATGTTAGGTTGTTTTTTCAAAAAAAAGTTCTATGCCTTTGCGGCGCTCCAAAATTCTTGTTCAAAAATCCGACCCGTTACTTTTCGTTTCAGTATGCCTTATATGCATATCCAAAATTTGAACAGAATCCGTCGAGCCGTTACCTCGTAAAATATGGCCAACGTACGCACGTACATACAGACGGAAAAACATTTTATTCTTTGAAAGTTGTTTAAAATGATGTAAAACCTCGAAATCTAATGAAATTTTAACATGTCCAAAAAACAGTGACGCGGTACACTCCGTGCTAATTAGCTAATCTTGGAATTGGCGACGGAAGAAGTGGAGAAAGACTTTCAAGCTTGACAAAATCGTAGAGGGCGCAGAAAGGGTTAAACTTGACAGAATTTGGCCAGAGAGTTCTCGCAATATACCTATTCTTGGTACTGGTGGCGAAAGAACTGGAAAAAGGAGACTTTCAAGCTTGATCAAAGTCGTTGAGGCCACAAAAGGGTTAAACTTAACAGAATTTGGCCAGAGGGTTGTTGCAACATACGTATTCTTGATATTGGTGACGGCTTTATGGTTCAGTGGTAGAGCATTGGGTTATAAATCCGGAGGTCGAGTGTTCGAACCTGGGTTGAGGTGCATTTTTCATCTGTGGCAGAGATGGGAATTACCTTAGACCAGTTTCGAGCATTCTGCCGGCTACTCCGAATTAGGTTTTCCTGCAGTTTTCCTAATTCGTAAGGTAAATACCGGAGTAGTATAGAACAACTTAAGACCTTCTGCAGAGGCACCTCTAAAAAGCATTATGCGAGTCACTCTGTAATTGGGCGAAAGCCTGTTAAGGACCCAGAACAAGAGAGAGATAAAATAATATAATAAAATAAAGAAGTGTAGAAGGGGACTTTCTAGGTTGAAGGTGCATAAAAGTTACACTTTATATGACTAGAGGGTTGTCGCAACATACTGTTATATTGCCAGCTTTGAGTGGAAGATTGTTGCAGTAAGTTATATTATGTGACAGCCCAGTTATCGAATTGCAACATTTCCAATGTAACAGCGTTATATCACATTCGCATAGTTATATAGCTAACTGTTTTTGCTCCGTACTTAGATTACTGCAGTTTTTACTCCAAGAAACAAGCTTTCGTTTAAAAAACAAGAAAAAAGATTTCATTAAAATACCTTAAGACGATTGAGGAGAGTTGCCGTCAAATTAAGCGTTGTGGTCGTGTATGGCGTGAAGCCTTAAAGGCCAGTTTCATAATCCCGTAAAAATCTCCTTGAACTAAAGTCAACTATATGTCAAAATTAAGACGGTTGATATGGACGAACCCCTCCATTTCGAGTGGAAAATATATGAGTTAAAAATTATAAACATTAATGATATATACGATAGCTTGTAGCTTGTCTTCAATAACAACATTAATTATTCATTCAAGTCGATTTTAGTTAAAGGAGACTTTTGCGTGATTATCAAACTGGTCCTAAGATGGGGGGTGATTGTCTTCATTTGAAATTGGGCCTTGTGGTCTAGACCGCTGGAAATGACGTCCTTTGCAGACAATGGCGAACAGTGACTTAGTTTTCATACTAACACCGTAATCAAAGGAACTTTCTTTTATTCTAATCCAGCTCCCACCTTCCGTTAATAAATTTTGTGTGGATCAAAGTAGGTGAATAATATTCTCAAAATTGCGTACAGGCGACTGGCGTTGAGCGGCAAATTCAAATATATCCAATTACTGGTATAGAAATTCTAGCCAATGGTGGCAGAAAAACATGTATACGGCGTGAAATTGCTAGAAGACGACTGCGACTTTGAGTTTAACGCGGGGTCCGTTAACTACTAAACTACTAAAAACCGATGAGGAGGGTGTCATTTTGTATCAATCATTTTTACGCATTATGCATTGCATAGGATTAATAACAATTTACAACAACGATCCTTTATGTACTAAAGAAGATCTGAAACCGTAAGGCTTTAAAATAAAAACTGGGAGCCACGTTGTGTGCTAAATTAAACTTTTGGTTGTTGCGAATATGCTCCCAACCTCCACTACTAGACCCTTTGAACTGTGTTCAGTTACGTAACAGAGCTTATTTTAGGATGAACAAGTAATCAATTTACACCTTTTTGAATACCTTTAATAAACCGAACGTTATCTCTGGATATAGGTACTTACCTAACCTACCTATTATTGTATAAAATGTACTCTCATCATATATGAAAAAATTTAAGTGACTCTTGAAAAAGTATCTTTTAGTTTTAGACTAGAAGCTAAATACTCGTCTGTAATAATGTTTTTTTTTCTTGTTGTGCATTGATGTTAACTGTAACATTATTGTTTTAAAGATGGAAGCAACTGATAAGTGTAAAGGTTTATACCTGCTAACACAATAAACATTATTACTCTTATCAAAAGATAATAATCCAGAGAATAAACAAACTTTTTCCATAGATACAAATCTGTAAACATACATTGCCGTCACATCAAAGTAAACAATAAAAAAGAGCGTTTATGAAATGTAAGTAAGCCTCAATATCTCGTATATTAAAATTTACCGCGTTATTTTAATTAAAGAGCCCAAAAAATCTCACCTTGCATCCCAAACACGATCTGCTCTATGAAAAATGACCGGCTGCTGATGAACATTTACGGATACTCCAGAAACTTGTCCTAAATTCAAATCGACTTCCGGCCAGTTTTCGACTTCTTGTGGCACAAGCTCTGAAGAAGCGGGAGGTGCAGGTGATTGAGATTCGACCATATAGTTTCTTTTATGATTTTCATTCTGCAAATTCAAATGTAACTCAATCTGGAGCGCAATTTGTGTTGCCTAATCCAAGCTGGAAGGTCCCCGACTTTATAAACCCGTTACTTTCTATTCTGAAGGTGGACTATTTAATTACTTGCATATGTTATAAACTTTATTAAAGTAATAAAAATCGCACTTACCTTTGACCGAAGAGAGGCGGAAAGTTTCAAAAGTTGCCGGAAATCGTTATAAAAATCGGAATTGATATTTGCGGGGTCCGAATTAAACGCAACGGCGCTTAAAACCCCCTCAAAACATAACAATGGTAGAAGAACAGCGACGAGCTTCGTCGCCATTGCCGTACTTACGGGAAATCAATGTTTCCCTGAATACGCGCATGTACCACCGCATTTTGATACTATCTTTTATCAAACCAATTTTCCTACTAATTCGCGGTCAAGGTTAAATCGATAAAATAAAAAAGTCAGACAGAAAATGTATTAACCTCGCGTACACATCAGTATTTAATTAGAAATATATACATGTAGATTGTAGACGAACAGCAAGTATTGGTAAGTAGGTGTAATTATCACAACCCTTAGAACACATTATTTAGCCGTTGGGTTTTGCTTGGTCCCAACGGTTTCTTCTTTGCTAGGAATTTCCATCAAATCCAGGTTGAGTCCAAATATAACCGGTGGCGGTCATCGAACAAAAGGCGTTATAATAACGTCCCGGCGCTCTGCAGTAAGACCACGTTGGACATCGGCAACGAAACAAACTTTGAAATTCCTCCTTACACACTTCATTCCACCAGCATATGCGCTAAAATAATAAAGCACAAATAGAGGCTGTAGGTAATTAACCCCAAAACGGAAGTCACCTCCGTTAGATATCCATGTATGGATGTATCCGAGATACTTCTTTTTCCCAAAACGTGACAATTTGCTTCATATGCCAGGAAGATAGATAGTGACAAGAAAACCCACTAAAAATAGAAATTTATTTCATTATTTACGCAAAAAGTCCCCCTTACCTTCAACAGCATTGCGAAGTACGCAGTCGGATTCGATATTGATCCAACCCTAGTGGAAGTAAATGGAACTGCAAGAAATACAAACAAAAAAAGTCTATTAACATTAATGCGCAACCTTCATCCAAAGATCACTCGTTTAAAGCAAAAATTTGCAAAACAGCCATTAACGTAAATCCTGCCGCAATAAAAACGGCTCTAGTTACCCGACACTTGCGACGTTTCTTTTCTCTGTTTAAAGTTTCGAAAAAGGTAATGTACAGTATCGTGCCGGCCGATAAGCCTTCCAGTAAAAGAATCGCGAAAGACTTGCCACTCGTTTCCAAATCGGTCGTTACCGTAATAGCTACCCCTAACAATACTCCAAAAGGACTGGTTGAGGAAAGCATAAGCATGTGTATCAAAGTGCTCTTAGTTGATGTACCGGAAATCACAACTTCACTTCCAATTATAAACAAAACCGTAGCGGAATGTATAGAAACCGCGGTGAATAAATACCAAATGTTTTTGTTGGACCTTTGTAGCCCTATGGCCAAACCTTCGAAGAATGCGTGAAGCGATATGGCCATCACCACCAAAATGCAACGAAACATCTGTTTCTGATTCTTAACCCCCTCCTCGATCAACTCTTCGATTTCGGCATTAACATCTGTATCCAAATCCAAGTCGGCTTCCATGTCTATATCTGGCGGATTTTCATTTTCCGTCTGAATACCCTGATCCATCGTGTCCACGATGAGGTCGCAACTGAAATCGTCGAGATACATTTTTTCGTGCTTCTCGATGTTAGCGAAGTTCTTCTCTATAGTTTCAATCGGGCGCATCTCGAATGCCATTTTGTTGTACAAAGTCGGCGTCCGCAGCTCCAACACTTCAACTTGTTCCGAAACTGAGGAGATTGGTCTCGAAACATCCGCATTTTTCGTCGATTTGCGCGACACCATCCAATTACTCAACTCCTCCGCGAAGTAAATGGTAAAAAATCCCACGGAAATTACCAACTGAGAATATGGATAGTTCGATTGCAGCACCCCAAACTTTCTCAAATCAACGACGAAGTGACTAACCTCGGGCATCATGTGCAGAAAACAGGTGGCGAAAAGAACGCCGCCACCAAACGATTGTATCATTGCCACAATACCGTCCATAGTTTCGCGTCTACTCTCGACAACTTTTCCGTCACGGGAAATTGTCACCCACGAGTGCACTTTTATGGGCAGAATGCCAAAAATATAACGAATTAATCCAAATAGTAGAGCAACCACTAACTTTGTTAGTATAAGATCCATGATTGAGTGAAGCTGGTTGCAACAGGACTGATACAAATTGCCATTAGCTCTCCTTAAAATATGCACGAGGGAATTCTAGGTTTGTGTGTCTGATGGAACAGCGTAATTAGTACTCTCCAAGTAGCTCATAGTCGATATATATGTAATATTTAATACAGACGGGGTAGTTCGTTTCAATTATTTACAGTTTTAAAGGGGGTGATCGGCTTGTACTGTCCTAGCTGTTGGCATTGATTGTCTATCAAAGTAAAATGAACCGAACTTGTTGCTCGTGTATTTTCCACGTGCTATCTCCCACATTTTTCTATTAAATTTATACTGGATGGAATATCTTTTCCACATTTTTGGCGTCACATAGCGGTATCATGATACCTGACAATAATGGCTTGCTTCTGGATCTAAGAACTTAAATTGCACCCTCGCTTTGACGTGTCCATCGTGTTTTCAGTATTCATGCTAATCAGTGCCTAAAATATTATTATTCTTTAATTTGAAATGACTGAGCAATATCTTCACCTCACCACCTAAGCTCAAACCCAAACGTCAATGAACGTCAAATAGTCCGTTTTAGTTCTAATCAATTAATAAAGGCGACGTTGTCATATGCACTGTACGTTTCGGTTCCAGGCAGTTACGAACAGTAGTCAAAAATTGCATTTGGAAAACGTATACGTTTTTAAGTCTTCGCATCTAAGCGTATACGAATAGATGCGACTGGTTTCAAAAATCGACCCCCTGGGCAAAGGTTGACCTTATGTGGAATCTTAGACAGACTATTCTAACAATGGCAAGTTTCTCGCTCGTCGACAAAGAATTTCTAGTAGTGTTTTCCTCTCCTAAAGCAACCAACCAAGTAAAGAAACGGTATGGATCCAACTGGACCATTGATTTTATGCGTATCCTGAGTATCCTGTGTCCAAGATAACAATGTCTATCATAGTCCAGGAAATAGAGGGTTTTAACTTGCAAAACGAGAAGTCACTCCAGTCATCTGGAGGTTAAGAATCTAAGTTTTCGACCTCCTATCCCTTGTGCTTCCCCCGTACCACCCCCAAAACCCCTGAAATTTGGTTAGTTTCTTAGTTTTTCAATCATATCTCTTTATAGATTCATTTTACAAAAAAATATTTGTTATCAGAAATTGTAGACCATAAAATTTTACACAACTTTGATATACAGTACTTTTTTTTAAATGTTTATTAAAAAAGATATAGAGCTTGAGCTTATATTTTTAAGAATTCTGAAATTTCTACGTAGATGTTTTAACCAAATTTCATACTTTATCTCTATAATTAAGAGTTTTATGAGAAAATATCTTGAATTTATCGTGGTATAAATCCCTCTACCCTACACCCTTACCAAAGGGGATGCATAATAATGAAACTTGTAACCCTTGCTAGTGAGGATATTTGAATCACTGTGAGATTGTAGCGCTTTTTAATATACTTTTGAAATTAAAAAATTGTCTCACTTGAGTTCAGTTTCACCCCCCCCCCCCAAATATCTTTTCCTACCTCAGTTGGGGGGGGGGTGAAGGATAGGAAGTATGAAGCTGAACTGAAGTGAAATAATTTTTTTGTTTCAAACGTATATTACAAAAACCTACAATCTCACAGTGATTCAAATATCCCCACTAGCAAGGGTTGAAAGTTGAATTATTATGCATCCCCTTTGGCAAGGGTGCAGCGTAGGGGAATTACCATGATAAATTCAAGATATTTTCTCATAAAACTCTTAATTATAGAGATAAAGTATAAAATTTGGTTAAAACATCTACAAACAAATTTTAGAATTCTTAAAAATATAAGCAACTCTGATGCTCTATATCGTTTTTAATAGACATTTCACAAAAAAGTATTGTATATCAAAGTTGTGTAGAATTTTATAGTCTACAATTTCTGATAACAATATTTTTTTGTAAAATGAACCTATAGAAAGATATAATTGAAAAACTAAAAAACCAACCAAATTTCTTTGGTTTTAAGGGTGATACGGGGGAAGCACAAGGGATGGGAGGTCGAAAACTTGGATTCTTAACCACCAGATATTCTTTCATGACATGCAAAAAAAATTGGAACTACTTCTCGTTTTGCAGGAAATGGTCCATTTTCAGTCTCTATTTCCTGGACTATCATGGGGATCTCCGAAACCCTAGAAGATACGGCGATGGTCAAATTAGAGAAAATTAAAAGTTATTATCATATTTTTCTATGAATTGTTCCATTTTGAGTACCTATGTATTGATAAAGTGGTAAAGGAATTTTCTGTACTCAAGTAAAATTTAATAATTTTAGCTACGGCCTGAAGATGATAATTAATCGAAATCGATCACCTAAAGAAAATCAATAAATAAATTTTCCTTGAGTACAGAAAATTCTTTTACCACTTATCAAGTTATTATCATACTTTAAAGAAAACCAGAAAATTCCGATTACTTTCTAAGATATGCCAAAAAAACCGAAATTTGCCGATTTCGTTTTTATTTTTTATTTGAAAAGATAAAAAAAAATAAAAATACATTCCCATGATCACTTTTTGAGCTGTACAAGACACCGTTGAGAGAGTTTTAATACAACGTTTCGTTTCAGAGAACTCATCATCAAGTTTCTTTTTTATATGACCCTTAAAAAAAGTGCATACTGTATTGAGTGGCATGTTTTATTACGAATACAACGATGTACGGCATACAAAAAAAACAAAAGTTAGAAACTATTTGTTTCAACAGGATGGTGCACCCGCGCACAGTAATCTAATCGTGCAAGAATACCTATCGAAAAATTTTTTCAGCTTGCAATTATATAATGAAGCTGATTTGAGAGGTATCCTCAGATTAGATGAGATTTTGAACGGGTCGCAAATTTTGATGCAATCGAAAGGCATAACGCGAAAATAATTCGATCCTTCAATATAATAAGATTGATACAACATTTACGCGCGATAATCACTTCTTACTACACGATTGTCCTTGATTCGTATTTTTAGTATGCACCATTACAAAATATTTCAATTTAGCGACGCGGTTTATTAATGTGCAGGCATAATTCGTATATCGCGCCGCGTCGTTTTGCTTTTCTCCTTTACAACCTGTTCTGCTAGGTACGATTACAGTTTTACATCGGTATTCGATGAACGAAAATTTCTTCCGAGTTGGGGTAGAAAGATAGTGGTGCAAGTCATCCCCCATTCACTATTCATCTCGTTTCCGATTCGAGAGCCAAACACGAAGCAAGTTTCAAGCAATTACATCTTCAAAAAGAAATAGCTGTTGTGGAAAGAGCATCGAGATGCACGGATTTACCTTACACCAGAATTGAAACTTCCTGTATACTTTCTTATAATTGCGCACCCTTAGCAAAATGTAACGTTCATCCCTACAAGAATTTTTAAAAAATCAATTAGTAAGCTACTGGGACAGGCTGAACTTTAGGTTGGGTTTAAATTCGTTACCATATAAAGTGAACATAATTCATTTAAGTCGATATATTTCATACAAAAGTGGAAATTTTCCCATATGATGTCTTAGTAGCTATTTAGCTGTATTGTGAAAATAATCTCCTTTCTAAGCCGTAATTGACTTACCCTTTAAAATTGTTTTCCATTTGGCTTCTCCACACTGAAAGTAAATAAATCTTGAAATGTAACTCATATATTTTTCATTTTTTTAATCATATATTTTTCCTTATACACATATATTTCCCTTTCTAAAATCTGGCAACCCAAATAGTACCCTAACCTATTTCGAACAGGACCAATATTTTCTAGCGCTGTTTAGGAACCTATTTAATGACTTTTTTGCTTAATTTTTCTTGCTTCTGATTTCTGAATAGGACACAACTAAAAACTGAAAACCTACTTTGAAAGTTATCACGACATTCTTATGAAAAGCCCCAGTCTGTACGATTTCTAGGAATACATGTTGATCGAATTCTAAACATTTCAATACACACACGCCGCATTTGTAAAAAATGAGCACCAATCTCTATGAGGCATGAGCTAACAAACATCTGAGCAACAATGCATCAACACAAAGCCTAGTAGCATAAGCAGCCTATTACAGTTCAGTATATTTAGTAAGGCAGTACCGTATACTAACTTAGGGCAGCTGTGCTTCAGTCATAAATGTCTTTGCACTTCCGATTCTTAGATATCACAACGAGTATGGTATACCAAAAAGAAATCTATTTTCTAAAACACCCCTTGCAGCAATGCCGACTGTTCTTTATTTTGGAGAACGGTTTGTGCACTGATGCAAGATATGAAGCACTAAAAGTCAATAAAGAGGCACTAACGAATGATACCGGTCCGATAGTTAGTGCTTGCAATGACGGCGCTAACTTCTCGGAGTCACAACGATATTTTATCGCATCATATTGGGGTGCAAGATTTGCGTTCATTAAATGTAATTTTACTTCATGCGATATCGGTAAATCGCGTCGCTGCCGCATAGTGTGCAAACATCCTAAGCATCGACGCCAACATCGAATATTTGGCCCACAGATTGTTAGGAGATTTCAATTTTGCATTTCAATGGACGAAATATGCAAAAACAACTTTATCATAACAATTTGAAACGTTTTTTCTTGGCACCATTTCTTGCTACGTATCTAATTTTGTATTGTTGTGGGATTTTAGCATTACATCCAACTCTGAAGTATTCTTCAATTTCGTTACTCACTTTCACACAATTTATTGCAAGTCCAAACCTTGTCCTCAACGCGACCTGGTAAACATTACTTGCCACACTCGTAGCTTAATATACTATTATTTAATACAGTTGTACAGAGTGGTTAATCGGTAGAAATCTAAAAAATGTACAATGATGAGTAACGCTAACGGGGCAATATAAACGATACCAGCTATCAATTAGCAAAAACCCGAAATCTCTAGGTCGCCCAGGGGCCGAGATCTCGATGGAACAGACAGACAGACGACGGAAAATCGAGCACATAAGCGTTACCTTAACTTCGTTGTGTTACTCTAAAAAGGCACCAAGTAAAACAAAAAAAAACTGTTTATTTTATTACTTATTTACAAATATCACAGTGTACAATTATAATTGAAATTATTCTTGTTTCAAGTGCTATTTTTTGTGTAGTTCTCTTCAACTATGGAACAAACTAAAAGCATTTGTACTTGATACGCAACAAATACCAAGAGAATGAAGCAAGTTGATCTGTTAGTTGAAGTGAATCTCGTTTTAATAATTTAATCAAATTAAATTTACTTCATTCTCATAATAAGCACTGGAGCACAGTTCAAAACATTTACCTACAGCTACAAGGCAAAGTTACTAAAATATTTGCCATCTGGTAATTATTCGTGGAAGACCAATATTTTTTGTAAGTACAAGTACTTAACTTACTCAATTTTGATACATTCCAGACCTGCCATTAAGGAAAATCCAATTCCCAAAAATACAGCGCGCTTTAAAATATAAACTCTTCTTTCTTTTTCCCGACTCAGTACCTCAAAAAACGTAATATACAAAATTGTGCCCGCCGATAGACCTTCCAAGAATACAACGGCAAGCGACTTAGCGCTCGTGTGCATTTCAGTTGTTAAACTAATAGTTATCCCTAAGACGACTCCAATGGGACTCGTAATTGCTAAAAAAAACATATGAATCACGATCGTTTTAGGCTTGGTGCCCGCCAAAAAGATTTCAAGTCCAATACAAAACAGGATAGTCGCCGAGTGAATGGAGACAGCTGTAAACAAATACCATATATTTGATACAGAGTTTTGCAAACCTATCGCCAAGCCTTCGAAGATGGCGTGAAACGATAAAGCCAGAACGATTAGAATGCACCTGAAAATCTGCTGCCTGGTCTTGATTTCCTCCTCGATGATTTCTTCGAGCTCCGCGTTAATTTCGGGATTCAACTCCAGCTCAACTGATGGATTAATGTTTCCCTGCGTTTCCTCGTCGACGTTCTTTCCATTTTGTTGCTCTGGAACGATTTTGTTTTCCTTTGAAATGACTGAGGTGGTCGACGAGGTGCTGGTCGAAGGGCAAGGCTCTTTGGGAACCTTCGCAAGAAGCCACTGGCTCAACTCCTCCAAAAAGTAGATCAGAAAAAATCCGAAAGAGACCACCAACTGCGAGTATGGGTAATCACCTTCCAGCTTTCCGAATTTTCTCAGGTCTTGGACGGAATAATATACTTCGGGTATCATATGGAGGAAACACGTCGCAAATAAGACACCCCCGCCAAATGATTGCACTAAAACCACGTAGCAATTCAAGGTTTTCCTTTTAGTTTCGTTGACGACACGATGACCGTGTTCGACGTTTCCACTTATCTTTAACCAGGTGCATATGTGAATGGGAAGAATTCCGAAAACAAAGCGTATAATTCCAAACAGAATTGCCACTAACACTTTTGTGCTGATAATGTCCATGATTACGCTTCGAACGATTTACATGAATTAGGTGAATTCTGTGGATATCCACTACTCCCACAGTGATTTTTATGGCATTATATCAAAACGTAAATTGAGGTAAACACAACGAATTTTCACGAAAATTGCACTTTTACGTGGTCTAACAATAAGCACGCGAATTGTTACAGCTGGCATTGAAATGCATAAATCGATTCTTCATTAGTTGTTTTACGAATAAGTTTCTCCACGATTTAAAGGTTAGCGCCATGGTAACAACAAACATTACGAGGCGATATCGAGCATTTGACATAGAGCTGACGTTCATTTAGAATAGCATCCCGAATATGTTTGGAAAAATCGAAGTTCCAAAAGCGAAGCCAAGAACTCGTCCTCGCCCTGTGATGGTCGATTATAAATTACCAACACCTACGCCGTATACATGGGGCCACGTAAGTAATTAATGCATTCATTGAGGCTTATAAATTACTGTTTTTTTATAAATTGAATTTTATGCCCGTGTCGCTATGTGATTTCGTGACTATGGAAATAGTGCTTGAAAGTTTTACTGTTGCGTTTCATCCAAAAACTAAATCCACCTGTAAATAAACTCCATTCTTGTCTCCTTCTGATACATGTGTCTAAGAGTTCACTTTCATGGAGATTGTGAATGCAATCAATTAAGTGATTAATTTCCTGTTCTTTAAATTTAAAACAGTGTTAGATTAGTTAAATAGGGTTCTGACTAAAGTGATACGGATAAAAAGTAAATTTCTCCAAGGTCTTGCCCTATCGACAGACTTTCCTAAAATCGAAGCTTTATTTCCACGTTGAATAGCAATTCTCAGTCGTTGAAAAAGTGAATTTTCTCCCCCCGTCACCAAGGACATGCGTACTCCTACACCAGACCTTTTCCACAAGCCCAAGGAGTCAGAGTTAATCCATCTGTGTGTTTGCCGTCGATTCTCGAACACCCCATAGGTTCACGGAGAGATGGCACCTTATTTGAACGGAGTGCGCGGGTTATGATATCGTTACCAGATTCATGGCCTGACCTTCGACCAGCACTCTTTTTACATGGCAATCCATGATAAGACTTTGAAGAAACCTCGGCTCCACAGGAACTTCTATGTATTTCACAAATATCACTAGCTTTGGTGGTAGGTTCTGAAGTATCTCCTAGTAGGGTCTTCTGAGTCAAGACATGGATCCAGCTGCATTGAAACCCTCGTTTCTCCAAGGGTGATCCTTCAAGAGCCTAATTCCATCTACTTGTTTCAGGCTTACAGGATTAATACCATCGACCAGAAGGGAAGAGACTAGTGTACTGAGGCCAAGTAGCATGGGATGGCATCAAATTGAATGATTGTTTCCCAAGCCACTCAACCTTTTAGCTGTGCTTCCACTCTCATACAGAAATTCAGCCGTGGGATAGCGATTGAGGTTCTGAGTAGGAAAAATACGGAGTGAAATATTTCTTTATTTTTCTTTATATCAAGTACTCATATCTGTATAGAATCTTTAGATCACTTAGAACTTTGTTGTCAGAATCTTCTTACAATTTAAGCAGACTTTTCTAAGAATCATCTTGGAAACTTAGAAATCTCTATAAAATCGTTGGATCTTTTAGAATCTAAAGCCCTCAAAACTCATATTTTTTAAATTGATGTTGCCATGGGATAGAAATTGGATTAACACTTTTTTGCAAAATTCGAAAGAGGCAATACATAGCGGTGGACGTGAAATATAATATTTTTTTTAGATGGGTCGCGAACCAAACACGGACTATGAAGTTAAACTACTCCAGTATAAGCAAAGAAAAGAGGCCGACTACATTCGTTACATAGAGCAAGAAAATCTACAAAGATCAAAAGACTCGTTCAGCATGAAGTTCGAGAAGCACTCCCAAAAAAGGCGCTTCCACAGTGAAATAGAGAAACGTTTGAACGCGAAAATGCGAGACTACGAAGACGCAATTGATAAACGACGAGAAAAGTAAATCCCCAACCTTTTAATCAGCTACTAAACACTTACATCCAAAGGTTAAGGGAGCTGTATGCCGAAGAGGAAAGGGATTACATTAGAGAAACGATTGATTGTGCTCAAAGAGGCGGCGAATCGCAAATGGAGGAAATGAAAAGGCGATCGCAAGAAATTATTGCTAAACGGGAAAATGAACGTCTGCAGCTTGTCAAAGAGAAGAGACTTCAGCAATATATGTAAGACTGGATAATTTTGTTCAATGATTTAACGTACTGTTCCAGGCAACGTTGTGGGGATTTACGAACAGCAATGTCTAAAAAAAATACAATTGAGTCCAAATACGGTCAGCTACAGCAAATAAGAGAGAATGAAGCAAAGAGAGAGGCGGAAAGAGAGCTCGACCACTTGTGGCACCAACTAACAATAAAGGACATTGAAGCGAAGGTAAAAGAACGGGTTGTTACGCGAGTCCGTTTCAAACCACATAATTTTAGAGAGAGCGTGAAGTACAAGAGGTGATTGATAGATATCGGAGGGATAAAAATAATAAAGAAGTTTGGGATATCCAAGTCCATGGCAAGGTAAGGTCTAAAACGGCCTTCCGATTGTTAAATCGAATTGCAGGAGCTTCTTCGAGAGGAAATGGAGCGGATTGCTTTAGAAGACCGAGTTGAATTGGAGAAGCTCGCTGAGGAAATGAAGAGGGAGGAAATTGAAAGTATTTAGAAATTATGCGTGTTTACACAGTATAAGGGTTTGTTCCAGAGCTAATCGAGAAACGAAAGAAACGAGAGGCGTTCGCCCAAGAGATTAAGGGTCAGATAGAGCAGCACGAAAACTTCGTGGGGCAAAGGAAGAAAGAGGAGAACGCTTTGGACAACGCGTTCAATACGCTCGTTCGGATGGAGATTGAAAAAGAAAAAGCTGCGCGCGCCGACTATTCTGCGACGGCAAAACGCGAAATGGCGATGTACAGGGAGAACGTTGCCGAACTGGAGAAACAGCGCATAGAAGACGATCGCCAGCTTAACATGCTACTGGAGGAATACACCAGAAATATCCAGCGCAAACAAGACGAGGCGAAATGTAGAATTGAGGCGGCGAAGCGCCAACTACACAAGGCGAGTGGAACATCTTGTGACCATGATGGTGGGTTGTCAAGTTAATTTTTTCAGGAGGTGATGCAGGGAATCGCCGATCAAATTAAATACAAGAAGATGATCGCCGAAGAGGAATTAAAGATGAAGAGAGACGACAATGAATTGGCGAGATATGCGTACGAGGTTAATGGGCGGCTTGCGGTAGAAATGGCGCAGCAGGAGAAAATGGCGCGTTTGCAGTACAAGGATGACCTCTTGAAGCAGATCGACTACAAGAAAGTATTACATGTAAGACAGTATTTTTTACTGCGCCATTGGTCAGTCAAATTTCAAAGTTTTACAGATTCATTTTATGAGTTGAATCTGGTTTTTTTCTATACAGATTTAGGGGGCACTCTCAAATAACTACCAGTATCACCAAGTGTTGTTTCACTTGTTCACTTATCTTACTTGGGAAAACCCCCCCAATAGTTTTGATTAAAGGTTTCAAAATGATAATTTGTATATCATAAAAGAAGAAACATATTTTATTACTTGTTGGTTTACAGCAACGAGAGAAAGAGGAAATAGAACGGCAGCTTGAAGCTGGAAGGAAAGAAGAAGAGAAGTATCAAAAACTTATCGAAGAAATGTGTTCCGGTAAAATTGAAGAAAAAGGCAAGCATCCTTTCCGCAGAGTTATTGAACAATATGATTGCCATTGTCCTGCAACAACTAAGTGATGAAAACGTACATCAACATTGCATTTTTTGTACCTATTTTGTACTTTTAATATATACATCAACGATTAATACAGTCTTTATCATTTTTTCGCTACTATCCGCGGTACTTTTTTCTTGTTTGGGGCTTTACACTTTTATTTCACGTTTTCCTGTTTTTTTTTGCTCGGTGTTTCCCACATTTCTGTTGGTTGTTCGTTTTCTTTGCAAACAATCATAATTACATACTTTCGATCAGATGCTGTATACCTTCCTTTTTCCTTAACATTCCATTTCATAGTACTCGTGGTTCCTCTTCTGAACATAACTGTTCGTTGTCTGATTTATGTATTTTTTAGAAGCCTCTTCTGAATGCAAAGGTGCTTTAGCTAGGTGGCTATTGCGATCACTGTTTTTTGGACATCATAAAATTTCATCAAATGTCAACGATTTAGATCATTTTAAGCAACTTTTAAATTTTTTTCCGTCTGTATGTATGTGCGTACGTTCGTACATGGATACGTTGGCAATTTTCCGAGGTAACGACTCGACGGATTTTGAACAAATTTTGGATATGTAGGTATATTAGGCACACTGAAACGAAAAATAACGAGCCGGATTTTTGAAAAAAAATTTTGGAGCGCCGCAACGGCATCGAACTTTTTTTTTTAAATGGCAACCTAAAATTTTTATTAAGTTATTCGAAAGACCTTATTTTTCTGTGTACAACCTACAAATATTGTGCCAGGTTTTATTACAAAAAACGGAGAAAAAAAATGTCAAAGTTAAAAAACTAAAAAAATTTTTCGCCGAAACGGTTACTATGATTTCATTAAAATTTTGCGAATGTACATTAGGCATTATAAATGATGTACTGTCGAAAACTTTTTTTAATATCTAAGTTTTTTGTGCCGTGACGTCATACAACTTTTTTTTCAATGAGCAATGAGCGATTGCAGAAGTTCGTTCGTTGCATTCTTTTCGATTTTAAGCCAAAGAACTGAGGTAAAATATAAATACCTATGTTAAAATATCTGTGTACATGTATAAATACTGCAGTTTTTAGAATGATTAATTCATATCACAGATTTAAACACTAAAATCTGAGTTAAAATACCGTAACAAAAGTAAAAAAAACAAGTTAAAAAGTAATCGTAAACGATTTACATAAAGCGCATTTCCACTTGCATTCATTTCCCATTTGTAAGATGCAACTTCTGTTAAAATCGTAAAAATCCGCCCACAAATATGAAAGATAGCTTTGCACATGGGCAATCCATTGTTGACGTGCTACTTCAATTTCAGTTTATGAGAAGAATTTCATTTCAATGCTTTTCTAAATAAGAAAGTTGAAACTGCGCATGCGCAAACCTAAATTTTGAAACTAATGTTAGATTTTCCTTTGTTCCAAGCGCCTAAGTATCCAATTTCACTTAAATGCTTCCATAAATAAAAAAGTTGGCACTGCGCATGCGCAAAACCAAATTTTGAAATTGGCGTTTGATTTTCCTTTATCCCAAGTGCCTATGTATCAAATTTCATTTTAATTCTTCCATAAATAAAAAAGTTGGCACTGCGCATGCGCAAAACCAAATTTTGAAATTGGCGTTTGATTTTCCTTTATCCCAAGTGCTTCTGTATCAAATTTCGTTTAAATTCTTCCATAAATAAAAAAGTTGGCACTGCGCATGCGCACAACCAAATTTTGAAATTGGCGTTTGATTTTCCTTTATACCAAGTGCCTATGTATCAAATTTCGTTTAAATTCTTCCATAAATAAAAAAGTTGGCACTGCGCATGCGCAAAATCAAATTTTGAAATTGGCGTTTGATTTTCCTTTATTCGGAGTGCTTCTGTATCAAATTTCGTTTAAATTCTTCCATAAATAAAAAACTTGGCACTGCGCATGCGCAAAACCAAATTTTGAAATTGGCGTTTGATTGTCTTTTATCCCAAGTGCCTATGTATCAAATTTCGTTTAAATTCTTCCATAAATAAAAAAGTTGGCACGGCGCATGCGCAAAATAAAATTTTGAGACTGGCGCTAGATTTTCCTTTATTCCAAGTGCCTATGTATCACATTTCATTTAAATTCTTCCATAAATAAAAAAGTTGGCACTGCGCATACGCAAAACCAAATTTTGAAATTGGCGTTTGATTTTCCTTTATCCCAAGTGCCTATGTATCAAATTTCGTTTAAATTCTTCCATAAATAAAAAAAGTTGGCACTGCGCATGCGCAAAACCAAATTTTGAAATTTGCGTTTGATTTTCCTTTATTCCAAGTGCCTATGTATCAAATTTCATTCAAATACTTTTATAAGTAAAAAAGTTTGCAATTCGGTTTATAAATGGTCGAGATGCGAAAGGGCACTGTGAATTTTGAATCGATTCGATTCAACTTTTGGCGTTGCGTATTATATGGCTAAAGCTATGCCCATATTGAATTTCATGCAATTCAGTTCATAACTAACGGGGATGTAAAAGTGATCGAACATTTCTAAACAAAAGTTATCGTTCACACGGACAGATAGATGGACAGACAGACAAAGGACACAGACGGACAGGACCAACAGGCAAGGTCGACAGATAGCAATGCAAAATAATTATAAACGATCTCTAAGATCGTTAATAAACGGCAAAAGTGTAAAATTATGGAACATGTAAAAAACGGTTTTTTGTTTTTTTTACAATAACTTTTTTTGTAAGCGGTACAGAAAAAATTCCTTCCTTGGTACAAGACTCGACACCATAACGAACCAAATAGCGAAAAAAGTAGAACAATAGCTCTAAAGATAAAAAACTAGTAGCGTCGCAAAGTTAGCGGACGGACGGACGGACGGACGGACGGACAAAGTGGCCACAATAGCGCATTTTTTTTTTATTTTTGTGGAAATGCGCTAAAAAGCGCGCGAAGACGTTAAACGGCGAAGAGCGCTTTTTGGTCTGAGGATGTGCTTTATCTATAGTCTGAGGTGAGCTAGGAAGCTATAAAGCTAAGTCTGAAATTTACCCTGTATATAAAATGAAGATTTTTTGTAGAAAGGGCTCGAAACTTTGTGCAGCTATTGTAGCATGTTGAGGATTAATTAGTTGGAATTGATTTAACAGAATCATCCAGTCAAACAAAACACCATTAATTTGACCATCCTGTAAAAACTGGTTCACTTTTTTGATAGATCGCTGTCCAATGTACGTTTTTGTTAATATTTTGGTCGGGGTTGTCATATTTATTTGTATTGTGTTCTCAAATAAAAGCTAATTAGAAATTAAAAATGGGGCGACGGCTGCACGTTTGGTTTCACTCTCTACATTTGTACATTACAATTAGAAACTGGGCCTATTTTTTAATGTTATTAGTAAACAAAAGAGACGGATTTTAATGAAAAAAAAACTTTGACATAAATTACTGAACACCCTGTATGAAGAGGTTACATATGAAATAAGGCTTTTTTGAGAGTTATGTAATCAATTTTTTAAAATAATGAGCCTGTATCTTTTGCTCTGTAAATGGAAATTTCAACTAAATTTGACAAATTTGTCAAAAAACGCAAATCAGTCAAAAGCCGTTCGGTTTAGTCCTACTGTCAGTTCTCCCAAAGTTAGTTCAAATTCTTTTTATATTTAAAAAATTCACAGATTTTGCAATCCATGCAACCATCGGAGAAATGATAACCGTATAACGCCAAAACACAAATCACCCCCATTCACCCGGGATCACTTACTCCACTCGCTCGCACGCTCACTCATGTCGCAAACGTATACTTTCTGAATAATATGCCTCATAACATGCTAGTAATACTATTAAAGGACATTTAAATTGGAATTAACAAAACAATTGCGCACTAGGTATTAAGTAAGTACCATATCGACACTATCCCCGAGTTTTCCTTAATCTACCGATTGCGGCCGAGTACGGTACAATCATCACACCGCTGCCTTTCCTGCTTGAACGAAACTGGTAACTTCAAACCCATATACAAAACATAAGCATTTCCAATTCTAAAAAATGTTTCAAAACTCACTCGTGGGCGTAGCCGCGCAACACAACTGTAAATAAGGAGTAACAGGCAAATATAGATCATAGAAGCTATCAATTAGCGAAAATCCACAGGAACAGACATACAAACAACAGACAGACAGACGGACGACGGAAAATTGAGCATATAAACGACGGCAACTTCGTTGTGTTACGCTAAAAAAGTAAAAATTAAGGCGTCCTATTAGTGTGAGTAAACTTCCGACACAGAAGCAGTATATAACATTGAAAATATATCAGCTGAAGTTCGCTCATAGAATAACTGAAATGCACAAATTGTCAGACATTTATATACCCAAGAATTTCAATTTCTTTCTATTAAGAATTCCAATCCTATTCAAAAAGTCATAGGTTGGGCTTTTTTAAGCTTTTTAATAGGTACTATAGATTGGGTAAATTGGATCTTTTACAAATACGTCACCGTCAGGTTTCGGAATCAAAAAGTTTTTTAAAGGGTTTGGTACAAATAATAGTGTCTTTTTCATAGGCTATTTTAGTCAGAGACTTGTCTCTGATTTTAGTACAATACGTTTAACTTTTGTCTTTTCAACAAATTCATTTAGTTTTTCCCAACGTTTGTCTTTCTTTTGGTATGTTGCTAGAGTGATTGTCGTTTCTCCCATCTCATTGTATTTGTATTTTTAAGTACCTACTTTCAAAGGCTACCTCCGAGTTGATGCATTTGTTATTGCATGCACCTGTTTGTTGTTTCATTTTTTATAGTCTGATGCAGAAAAGTGAATGTTTTTCATTTAATATTTCCGGTTCTTTTTTTTTACTCTTGTTTCGGTCGCGCGAATATATGCAAAAGTTTTTCTTACAGGTACTTTCCAATTTATACTTCGTACGTTCCCCACGACTATTCAAATATCTTAATTAATTGTATACTTATCTTTTTTTAGCGAATTTCCCTGAATTTGTAATAGGATTAAATCTTGTCAAAAACACGGAGTTCATGAGTAGTGTAATGAAGGTTTCCAAGTCTTCCATG